AGGTGACAAATACACTGAGTTGATAATGATATGAGAATTATCAATCAGGTGTGTTATTAAGCTTGATTTTTTCATGGCTTGAAATATAAAGATGGCATTGAAAGAATACTTTCCAATTAAATATAAGAACTCTTAAAGGTTATAAAATTCTGAGCATAAATCTACGGTTTAGGGGAAAATGTAAGATATTACTGACTGTCATGATAATTTAATAACCACATAAGCTCATGGGTTGGAAAGCTTCCCAAATACAATTTTCATCCTCAAGTGAAAATGAAAAGTGTTTTTTCTTATGATCATGTCTGGATTTTTAATCTGGCATGTATTTTGTTAGTCTAGATTTGGGAAAAGACAAATTATAAAGGTTTCAGGAACTGCTCAATTACCTGAAATAATTCTGGTCAAACTGTTTTCCAAAGTAGGGAAATAGAAGGCTACAATGAGTCTGTAAAAATTGTAATTCAATGGAAGTTCTTTCCTGACTTTACAATGGGGATACTTTCATCATCTATCCAGATCAAGAATCCCTAGGGACAAAGAAAAGGGACTGGTCATTCTCATAGTCTTATTTTCTTAGTTCTATTTATAGGCATTAGGTATTTGCCAGTATCTCAACTAACAATAAAAACATCCTTAAATATTTTCTTCTGTATTACCTGACATGCTACTAGATAAGTGTTTGAGCTTTGGAGATAGTGCACCTTGGTTCTAGCCCTTATTTAGTTTCCTTACATAATAATACATACCTCATAATGCTAATACATGCAATCACAGGGAGCTTCCTCAACTAGGAGCTCAATAAAGTGTAATTACTACTACTATGATTATGCTCATACAAGTCATATAAAGATAGAGCAAGGATTTTTATAGTTCACTTAGAAATGAAGGAATCAACTCTTACAGAGTTTTAAGTCACATGTCAGTACCTCCTGTCCGTGCAAAGTAGTGTATTAGTGGTTGGCAAAAAACAAAGACAACAAGTTCTTCTCTACTTTTGAGGAACTTCTACCTAAATGGGCGGAGAGGATCATTGTTAGAAGAATTATAATCAGGGATACGACATTATGGGTGAAGTTAGTCATGGAAGACATCTTGGTGGAACCAAGCCTTGAGATCAGTTTGACTGAAGAGTAGATCATGGGTTGTAATAACGGAATGGGGCAGTAGGAATCATATGGAGAAATCACAGAGGAGTAGAAAAACTAGACAGCTGAACAATATTTATTTTCACGTTTCATGGTAGAGCAAAAGTTATTACCATCTCAGTAATCATAACATTATTTCTCATCAAATTTTTTGTTTTGATCTAGTAATTGAAGGTCTGATGAAACAGAGTAGAAGAGATTTAAATTTAAAGAACCACGGCTAGTTCATTACTCATTTGGGTAGACCATGCATCTCTCAAAGGGGTTACAGAAAAGCCTGTTCTCATTCCGTTCTTCTTTGTCCCTATATCCAACATGAAGCTTCAGCATCCACCTCCCATCTTGAGTTGCTACATAAGAATGCAGTTTTGTATTTTGATGCTTGATTAAAAAATGCTTTCATTATAGTTACTAAAGTAGGATCAAGCTTGGGAATGTACATGGAGATAAAATTGTGGTAAAGCTGTCAACTAGGTAAGAGGTATCGTTTCATTTTTTTCTATAACATTAATTTTCCCTGTAGCCTGAATTTCATCACGCCCAGTCTGTCTTCATCAGTAAGTTGAGCTCTGAGAAGCCAAAGATACATGCCCAATATTTTTGAAATCTCAGCTGAAGTCTGGCTAAGAGATAAGACTGGAAAGGAGGTAGGTGCTTCAGAATATCTAGAAGCAGACCCAAGGGAAAGTTAACTCTTCTTTGTTATGTGTAGGACTAGTCTTTGCATTTATAGTGCCATTCCAAAGGGATAGTCCATGCTAGGAAGGATAGTAACTGCTGTGTCTACCACTTCTACTGATAAAATAACTACAGAACTATTTGATTGTTCGGCTTCTGAAAGTGCCCATTGGAGAGTCATCCCCACAGAAATAAAAGGATCTTTATATTCTATCAGCTTGGAAATAAATCTACTGTAATAAAATATTAGGCTAAGAAATGGAGCCTTTCTTTTACCCTCATATTTTTATTTCATGTAAGTTTCTTCGATTTCCCTTGACATTTATTTTGTGCTGCTTCAACCTTATTCTGGAAGACAGCCATAGAACAGACCAAAAATACAACTACTTTTTTTTAAATAAATGAATTCCGATAGAATTCTGAAGTGCTAAAGATCTTTAATAATACGTTAGTTTTTTTTTTCTTCTGCTACCTCATGTCTGATGCTTTCAGGTTTATTTTCTTGATGCTTATTACTGTAAGTTTGACTATATAAAATGGAAGGAAAAGGACAGACGGCACTAAATTAGGCTAGTTATAAAAATTCCTGTAACTACTTAAGAAGTTTACCAGATAACACTTCTACTTCCATGATTTTTAGGCGGACTCTCAAGAGTGACCACTAATATTGTATTCAAATATTTCCTTTTATGACAACGTAATGTTATGACCTCCACAGTAGCACCACATTCCTTTTTAATTATAATATTAGAATAGTGAACACATACACAAATTTCCCTCAAACTATGCCCTAAATCCTGTAAACCAAAAAACAGCACTTTTCGTCCAAGTAATTTAGAATGTGAAGAACAAATTCTATTGCTCTACGGGAGCCAGGAAACCCTACGCACATTCCGACTCCCGGGTTTGGTGGGGGATGGGGCCTTGAACCAGAGGAGTTGAAAAATTCAATAGCTCTCGGTCAAAGATTTATCAAGAAAGTAAAATGCAACTGTTTTTCCAGTGCTTTTTATAATCTGTCAATGTCAGTCCTTTCCTCGATGGTCTCTGCAGGTTCACCTGGCCCTTCGTGAGCCACAGTTTGCCTCTATTAGCCCCTGTGAGTGGGATCAGGACTAAATTTTTTCATTGGGCAGTCAGGCAATGTGACTATGACCCACGGGCATAGGCCTGTGGAAGTTCCTATTGGCATAAAACTGGGAAGAAATATGGGTAGAAAGAAATAAAGAATAAAAAGGAGAAGCGCAAGAGTAGGTGAAATCAGAGGAAAGGAGCTCAAACTGGAGGAAGAGGAATCAGGGGCCATTCTTTCAACTCAGCAAGACAAGTGAATGTAGCAGAAGCTCTGTCTGTCTTCACTCACACAGAATTTCTAAGACACACAAAATGACACAGAAAGGCAGTAGGTCAGCATTGTCTGCAAATGTTTAGGCAACTGAGGTCTAATTACTCTATTTGAATAATGAAATCATCAGCTTCCATTTATTCATAGTTCATCTGAATAAGAAAGTTCCAAAGTGGTTCACCCCCACCACCAAAAAAACCCCTAAATAATAGTAACTCAGGTTTACAATAGAGATCCTGAAGCCATGGACATTTAAAAACGACCTCTGAATCATCACAACATTTAAAAATAATTAAGTCATTTGCTAATAAAATGCACTTATTCTAGTTCACCATCAACTTCAAAGCCAGCTCGGAATCTGAGGAAAGCATTTACCCAAGTATATTTCATCCAAGACTAATTCCACATACTCTAAAAAAAGAGGAAAAAATCAGCCATGTTTGTTTTTCCAGTCAGTTCTGCCTACATATCACTTTGGAAATTGCTGCTTGAGATAATCAAGTTGTGTGTGATATAAAACAGCCAGAAAATTCTAGTCAAGAGACTATTACACTGATAAAATTAATATCTCATTTCTTACCCCATGTTTTCTAGATAAATTAGTGTTTCTACAGGTGTAGCATTGATAAGGATGCTTCTTATCCACTTAAAGGTCCTGAAGGATTTAAAGAGTGTTTTATTGCATTTCATGATGTTTGATTTCTCTTTTTACTCAAAGAATTTTGCCTTGTATTAAAAACTGCAGAGGCTGTGCTGTATTAAAATAAGATGGTTTCACCATATTGCTATGCAACAGAAGGAGCAATTTAAGACCAGTTAATTCTCAAGCTCTCAGTTTTCGGTTCAGACAGACCTCATGGAACTTGGAAAAACCATAGAGCACATTTGTTACACCCTACAGTGTCTTGATCAGGAAGGGAAGAGTGTATTGACCTTATGTAGAGGTGCAATGACCAATAATTAATTATGAAAATTATCAGGGGAAAAAAGCAGTGAATAAAGTATGGCCATTACATATAGTTTAACTACAATTCCTATCAACTGGAATTGATAGGTTATATATAGGGGAAGAAGTCTGGTGGATTGTAGGAGAGAAAACCCTCCAAAGGAGGTTGGGGATAACCTGTTGGTGGTAAACAAAACAAAACAAAGCAAAACAAAAGCAGGACTTAGAAGAAACAGAAGAAAAATGATGACTCAGAAAAAATAAGATAAGTTCTCTCTGGCAAAAACTGACGTGTTGCTCTGGACCTGAGAGAAGGAAACAGTTCAGCCGCTTGCTGATTTTGGTCAAAAGTTTCTGAGGAGTTTCTGAGTGGGAAATCAAGAATCCAACTGTGCCTACTCCTTACCCAAGCATTCAGCAAGAATCAGATTCCAAAAGAATCTTCCCCTGTAGCTTTCCTGAGCTAGCTGAAGGGCACTCGAATAATAAGGAAGCTGGAGACTTGGGTGTGAAGGTCCCCATGTAATGTGGCAGTCGATGAGCTCATGTTGCTTGATGTGACCTGGTGTTAGTTAATCTCAACCGAACCATGCCAATAGCACTCAGAAGATTTGATGGGTGAGGAAAGACACTGCTTGATTCAAACCAAGAGGGTAGTTCGTAAGTCTTACGTAGGATCTTTCTGATCATAAGAACTGAGGTTGGAGTTTATATAGGTAGATTTTGGAAAATACATGGTCTTCCAATAAATTATTCCTCAGGTGAATTTCTTTTTGGGAGGTGGGGACCAAAAGAGTATTATAAAATGTGTATTCTGAGTTCTAATTTTATCTTACGATAGGCACTCTAGGAGAAGTTACAGACCGGGGCAGTTTCTAGGACTTACATCTCTTCCAATCAGGTCCTCCTGGTTTTCCACAATTCCCCAGGGGGCAATGCCTATGGTACATATCTTCCCTCGAGACTTGGATGCATGGTCCTTTAAGGCGTCTCCGACATGGCGAATAACACCTGAGAGGAAAAAGAAGTAATTATTCTTTCTTTTAAAGCAATTACTCTCTATTGTTCTAAAGGAAATTGTGATAAATGTGTCTTGCAAGGCTAAATGCATTGAATATAAAATTTTAACACATTTCTACACAAATGTTCAGAACAGAACATAAATTTGTGGCTCTAATGTCAGATATATTTGTGGGACTTTTATATGAACTCTAGCAATGGGTTTCTCATTCGATTTTAAGTTCTTTTTTGCCTAAGGAAAAAACAATTTAAAAGCATCCGATGTCTTAAAAAACAAAACAAATACAATTCTTTAAACTTAGGGAATCTTTTTCTTGTACTGTAAGTATAATGGTATTAGCATGGCTGAGAACTGATACCATGAGTATATCCTATAAAAAGCACCATACAGAATATTATACGAAATCTATGCCACAGTTTGTGTCTATAGAGTCATTCAAATAGAGTAGTTACTTCGATCATATTTTGTTAACCTTGATTTCATCTTCCTATTTATTGATACATCATGTGGAGACCCTACTTCGAAAGAAAACCTTGGCATATTCTTCGGAAAATTTATGTTGAAAATACAGCTTTTTAGCTTCATCATTCTAATTGTTTTCCTCTTCTCTCATAATGGCCTTCTCTATCACCATGGCCTTCCTCACCATAGTTAAAAGTGAAAAAATCCAGTTTATAAAATGGCAGGGAACCTATCTCTTGTATTTTAATAAAGATAAGCTGCATTGAAAGAAGATGCAATTTCTAATCTATTAACCTCCTTCTCACATCATTTTTATAGAAGATGTAAACTATATTCTCTAAGGAAAGTTGTGTCCACTTATCTCAATTCTACCCACTCCTCAAGGAAAAATTCACATGTAGTGCCATCTCCTACAGGAAAGCTGAGTTGGATTTGATTTTTCTCTCCCTTTGAGTAGGACTGCAGTTGGCGTATCTTCGGAGAGTCGCTATCACACGTGAGGGTAAAACTCCCCGTGGGGCAGGCTGGGGCGGGTCAGCATCTTACTTCACCTTTACCTGTCTCAGGTGCTAGAACCGAGTAAGGGCTCCAACACTGCAGGGAACGGATAGAGCACACAGAATGCCCCAGGCAATTTAATAACCGGAGAGGAGACACATGTGAATCACGCCATTCTGAAATAGTCATAAGAGCAAACAGAAAGACCCTCCTTTTTTTTTTTTTTAAAGATTTTATTTATTTATTTATTTATTTGACAGACAGAGATCACAAGTAGGCAGAGAGGCAGGCAGAGAGAGGGGGAAGCAGCCTCCCTATTGAGCAGAGAGCCTGATGCAGGGTTTGATCCCAGGACCCTGAGATCATGACCTGAACCGAAGGCAGAGGCTCAACCCACTGAGCTACCCAGGTGCCCCAAGACCCTACTTAAAAAAAAAAAAAATCAAATAAAAGAGTGTAAATAGCATTAATCCATATTGAGCCATGCTGGCAGTGTTGATAAATAAAAATATCAATTTCACTCGGGAACTTATCTAGGGATCTTCTAAGACAGAGTAATGTTGAAAAAAAAAGAAAAGCAAAGGAAAAGCAAATGCAAGAATTAAGCTGGGAATATCAGCGTTCATTTCCCCCGCTATTTATACGCAAAGCTCCTTTCAGGGCCTATCAAGGACAAGTTTATCCTCATGGCCTGCCCTCCGTCAGCCACAATCCTACCATTGCCCCTTACCTAACCTGAGATGCCATCATTAGAACCCCACTTTGGGTGCTGGACTGAGCGCTAGCCTGGGGTGAGGCAGAGATGAACTATTTGCTTTACGGTATTCACGCTATAACTTCTTCTTTTGGTACTGGGTGCATTTCATAAAAGAAAAAAGTAATAAAAGACGTTCCGCGCTTCCACAAACAGAAGATTGTGAAGAGATTCTTTTGAACCTTCAGAAACCTTGCAGTGGGTCTGCAGTGAGGGGCAGGGACGCCAGGAGGGCAAAAGGTTGAATGATCACGTGTGAATGAGGCCGCAACACGGAATGAAAACTGGCGCCTAAAGGCTGAACAGCCACTGAGAGATGATTGCTCCGTGGGTATTTGATGACTACCAAGTAAATAGTAAAGGGCTGACTGGGCAGGTCACTGTCAGATCAGGTCAGAGAGAGTCAGGAACACACAGAACAATGATGAGCGTGGGCCGTGAGCAGCGTTCCCCGCTGAAACGTGCCTGTGGAGTCACAGGCTGGATATTCACAAATTCTAGGTATCGGGGAGAATTCCGAGCACGGGTCTTGCTGCAGTATTTCCCACATTGCACACAAATGAATAAACAGTACTGAGATAACCTCTTATTTAAAATTAGTTAGCCCAGGGTTATGCTGAATCTTCCCCAATTCCAAACGCGGGTGGGATGCCCAGACTTAGAGCCTTGAACCAAGTTTAAATGAACTTGCTTCAGTCTTCCTTGTGCATTTCCGATCGGCCCTTCCGGCTCAGGCTGGGGGAAATACGGCAAAGCAACTTACAGGCATCCATTCTATTATCTGCTGCACATTAATAACGTGCTTCACGTAAGCGCTTAACTGTAGCGGGCTTCTGAGAATTGATTTGACAGCCTACCTGCACCACAAGGTAGAGAAACAAACCTGGCAGGAGAAAAAAAAATTATTGGGAAATCAGAGCGTGATGTGTCTTCTATTGGTTTAGAGCTGATTTAATAAACTATTTTAAATAATAAACAAACAGTACTCCAGACTTTGCTGTCACAATTTATGTCCCAGATGTAACGGGCATTTTACAACAACGAAAGCTATTTGCACCTAGCTGAAAATCGCTTCAAGATCAGACGCGAGCTTCCAATTTAGAGCAAAGGTTATTCTTTAAAAAAATTACCAGATACTTATCTGGCAACCTGAGGTATTGAAAGGACACTGCGAAATTCCATTAGTCAGGTCTACAAATTCTGTGGAGTCAAGTATTAAATATCCCAACCTGTTTCCCAGGTGTAAGTGATCCCTCGTGGTTGAGAACTGCCTGGATGGTTGTCGGGCTGGTCGCAGAGGACAGAAGCAGAATCAGAGGATGAAGGACCCGCCAGGATGAGAGATGAGATGGGGGGACACACATAGACTGAGCCTTAGGAGAAAATGGCCTTAGTGACAGCACCCCTGTGGCCTTAGCTTGCCCTTCCCTGTCCCACTTCCAGTTACCTGTGTTAACCCCTCCTGTGAAGATCCACGCTCCGGTGGTCATGGCTGCTTTGATGAGCCCCTTCCCGAAGACTTGCTTGAGTTTTGGCTGAAGTTCGAAGTTCTGCAGGCCCCCGTGCACGGAGATGAGAAGCTTGGGAAGCTCCAGCTGCCATTCCTTGGTCATCAGGTGCAGAAGGAGATCAGGTTTTGTGTCGAAGGACACTCGCACGTACTGGAAGAAGAAGGGCCACCGGTTAGGGAGACAGGGCAGGGCTGCCTGGGTTGGCAGGGGTTCGGGGAGGGGGTGTGTGGGGGTGTGTGGGGGTGTGTGTGTTGCTGCTTAGCTTTACTGATCGCAACAACGTGTCCAGTACTTGAAGAAAACCTCTCATGTGAAATCTGACTTTTGAAAAAAGGCAAATCATTTTCTTCACCAAGAGAGTCTTTGATGAAGGGATTCATCACTTTTAAAGGTTTTCTTGAAATTGTGATTTATTACGAACTTTAAAATGGCTCAATTTTCTAAAAGTTACATTTCTAAAACGTAACTTTCCCCAGTTACACCGACTGGGCCTAGACATCACTGGTTTCTGTGACCCTGATAGTCTGAGCGGTTTGGAAAAATTCTGCAGTTCTACCTAATCTAAGGGGAATTTTAAAACATGGTAACAGCTGATTACATTTATTTAATCTATAATACTGCACACTAAGTATTTCTTTTTTTAAAGATTTTATTTATTTATTTGACAGAGAGAAATCACAAATAAGCACAGAAGCAGGCAGAGAGAAGGGGGAATCAGGCTCCTTGATGAGCAGAGAGCCTGATGTGGGGCTCGATCCTAGGACCCTGGGATCATGACCTGAGCCGAAAGCAGAGGCTTTAACCCATGGAGCCACCCAGGCACCCCTGCACACTAAATATTTCTTAAAGAAGACAAGTGACAAAAGGCATGCCAATCATTTTTATAGAATAATACAAAAAATTAAAGCGTATATCAGATTTCAAGGTATTAGCAGATGCATCTAGAAATAAGTATACTAAGTATATGTAAATGAAATGCTATATATACATACAAAGATAAGCATGTATATAAGCACATACATACTCATTTAGGTCTCATTTTAATTATATAAAGACTTTCACCTTTAGGTGGAAACAACTGAAATATTGGGCAAATATATCTGAAAGCCTTCTGAAATGCATTGCTGAGCAGGCATGAAAAGAGCCAATATTCAGATTCCCAAACAAGTAGAAGCTGGAACCTCAGGAAACAAGGAAGGACCAAAGCAGGCTTTGGACATGAGAGTTTCTCCTAAACCCTGGCAGATGCGGGAAACTGCTTTACCAGCTTTACGCAGTATGGACAAGTTTAACAGGGAAACCCCATGTAAGCTGGGATCCTTCAAAGGGCTCCATTCTCAAGCGTAAGGAAGAAACAAGTGAGCAGAAGTCTGATGTACAGAAGAGAGCAAGGAAACCTGCCTGCTTCTACCTTGGTTCTGAGTGGATGGGGAAAAAAATTCCCCTCTGATTATTTATAAACCAGGGGGCCCTCACGAAGGCTTTGATCCACATTCACACTATTAGTGTGGCTTGAAAAATACCAGAGTATTTGATTTTAAATGGATCTAGCTGGGTAATGGCTCCGGATACTCGGCAGAAACACATGCAAAATCCCCTGTGGAGGAATGAGTCCTCAATCCAGAGCTTGCAGAGTATCTGCAGGAAAATAAACATTTCATAGTAAAAAAAATAAAATAAAATCACGTCTCGCATAAGGAAATCCAGCAATATGTTGGAAAGACCGAAAGAAATAATGGGTAGCAGAATAAGACCCTCAAGGATATTGAAATATTCAGAGATTATAAAATAGCTATATTTAATATGTTAAAAACACACATGAGATTATTGAATGTATCAGTAAAGAACAATAGACTATAGGGAATGACCAATCCTTTTGAAAAAGAATCAAAAGCAACGCTGAGAAATAAAAAAGTAATAATTTAAAGAAAAATACGATAGAAAAATTAAGCTACAGATTAGACACACTAACGATAGATCCAGAGAAATTGACCAGATGCAGCCTACAGAGACAAAGGAATTAAAAACAGAAGCAAAATTGAAAACCTTGGAGGAGATGATCTGCGTTCTAGATGGAACTAAAAGAAATAATGGGCAAGAAGCAATACTCAAAAAGACGCTGGCTGGCAATTTCTTAGAAATGTTGAATGATACAGATTCTCAAATCCAGAAACAGCCATGAATCCCAAGCAGGATGAATTAAAAAAAAAAAAACACCACTCAGAGACACCTCATAGAGAACACCAAAGGGAAGGAAATTTTAAAAACCTTCAAAATCTGCTATAAAATAAGACAAATCACCTACAAAGAAACCTGCTGTAAGAAAGAAGGTCTATTCCTCAACAGCAAAAATGGGTACCACAAGCCAATGTCTTCAACGTGCCAAGAGGAATTATCCGTCAGTGTAAAATTCTACATTCAGCGAAAATATCTTCCAAAGATGAGAGCAAATTACAGACACTTTCAGACTACCCAAACAGAATTTATCTCTAGCAGACTTCCCTGAAGGAAATTTTAAGATATATACAGCAGGGAGAAATTGCACAATCCCGAATGGATGATCTGGGATACAAGGAAGAATCATTAACGAAGAAATTAGCAAATACGTGGCAAATCTAAAAAAAGCACTGGGTGTAGAATATAAAATGATGATACGGTCTAATTTACAGTAGGAAGAGCTAGAACTACAGCACTGGACAATACCGCATTTAATTGGGTGGAAGTTATCAGCATGAAAGCATTCTAAAGTCTGTATGCTGTGTGGGAGAGGACAGAAGGGTACTGATTAACTTCGGAATTTGTTAAGTATTAATGTTGAAATAGCACAACCACAGAAAGAACAGAACGACGTGTAATCGTGCAAATATACGCTTTTGGATGTACACACAAATGAGGTTATGCTGGAGGTGACAATTTATTGCAATATTTTTGGACCTAGGAGACCCCATGGTTGCAAAAACCTCAGAAATTATGTCAATTCTTTTGTTAAAATGCACTTTAAATATATTTAGCTGGAATGTAAAGCCAAATAGCAGAAAAAATGAACGCAGCCTGACAACATAAACTGCATCATCAAGAAATACCAAAGAGCTAACGTCTCCTACACACATAGACCAGAAATCTAAAGAGGTGTTGGAATCTAATAAGCTAATTCTCTATTAAATTAATCTACGCAGCAACAATCAATTCCAGAATGGAAAGGGTAAGGGTCGGCAATTTTAGCTAAGTACATTATACCAACAGAATAATAGTAGAAGTGGCATATTTTGCGCACAAACTTTCCTGCAGAGGGCAAGATCTTTCTGATACACATCCACAGAGATTTTCAATAACGATGTGCGTTTTCGTGCCACGCAAAGAGCCTTGGGGCTGAAGCGTGGGCACAGCCATCGTGGAAGCAAGTACAGTGTTTCTTCAATAAAGGCTATGCTATTATCTCTATTGTTAAATTTATGAACTCACTGAGTGACCCTAAGGAAAAGCTTGGATAACAGATGCTATAAGATGAAAGAATAAAATGTTTTCTTTGCCTGTATACCGCATCTACGCCATTTGAGTAGTTAAAATTCGGCAGCCCTGCTGGATTGAATTTATGTCATGTTGACTAATTCTGAAAAGGGGTATTTAGTGAAATAAATTAGGGCTGGGACTCCCAAGGCTTCCAAACCATACAAACCCAAAATGCTTAGTGTAGGAGATGGTTTAAAAAAAAAAAATTGCTTCCTAAGTTACTGTTCTCTTCTTTACCCTCTTCTGCCTTCAAAAAAGAAAAATAGAACCCCAGGAAAGTGACCAAAAAAAAAAAAAAAAAAAACCTACTGAACTTGTTAAAATTCCTTTTGAAGCAGCCTAATCTTTTTCCTAGTTAAGAGAAGCTTGCTTGTGATCAGAGAAGTCTTGTTACTCTGAGTGCTCTACTAGGGAATGAATGACCTTGGGTGACCTTGCTAGGGGATGAATGACCTTGGGTGACCTTGTCCCCAGCTCTGTCTTATAGATGGGGAAACAGAGGCACTTGCTGTCCAGTCTGTGTAAGGTCAAACTGCCGGTACATCCTCTTCATATATTTTTTTCTGCTCTCAATTTCTTAATTCTACTAAGAACCACCCCTCCCAAACCCCAAACCAAGACCTTTTTGTATTTACTGTGCCCCAGCACATGTATTATCATGATTCCCCCCAGTAATGAGGAGGTTGGTATCAGCCACATTTCACTGCTGGGGGACAGAAATGATCCATCAGGTTCTCAAGTTCAACTGACAGTTAGTGGTAATGACAGGGTCCATAGCCCAGGTTTGCTGACTCTAGAGTCCTCGCTCTTGACTTCAAACTAAAAATGCCCCTCCCTTCTTCTCCTTTTCTTTCGCCTAGAAGCAGTCTCAAAGTTCTAATGATCCAGCAGCCTCCAACAGGCTTCTCAACCCCATGCCCTCACCAAGACATCAACAGAGTTCTTTCTCCAACTCCTTTTTGATCCCACTGTTTCTCAGTTCAAAGTGCTACAATATATGTAAACTCTCACACTGCCTGTCCTGGTCCTCCCGACTTTGGCCTGACCCCACCTAGAGGTGTTTCCCCACTTCTCTCTGCATTTGGCTAATGCTGTTCCCTAAGTCCTAGAATACCCAGTTCACCCCTATCTTGTCTACAGAAATCATTCTCCTCTATCAAAGGCTTTACGCGACTTCCCCTGAGAATGCAAGCTCTTATCGATGCAGCATAGCTCTCCACCTAACCCAACTGGATTGTTTTTCCCAGTTGTTTCTTGCACTTGTCCGTTTTATCTGCCCAGGTTGCAAGATATTTGAGAGCAGGGACCATGTTGGACCTGACCATGATCTTTGATAAAACTTTCATATTGGCCATGAAGTAGTCAATCTCAGAAATGGAAGGGAACTTAGAAGTATCTTAGCAATCATGGGAACTAGAAATCATTGGGTTCAATTCTTCTGCTTTACAGGGAAGGACAGTGAGAGCCAGAGAAAGTGAGTGACTGGGACCTCCGAGCTAGCCGTCTAATAATCAACCACTCATCTAGTTCATAATTAAAACCAATGCTGCTGCAGAAACTCTCGGTGGAGCTGTGCCTCTCAGAATTTAATGTGCACAACTCTCCCGGGGACCTTGTCAAAAATAGAGCTTCTGGTCCGG